GACTGATGTATATAGATATCTCTGCTGGACTCTATTATATTTGTAAATAGTGAAATTGAAAGGGGAAAGAACTAATATATTATGTATATACAATCTAATTAAAATTAGTTTCGTTTCTTTATTTCCATTGTAATCTAACAGGTTTTCAACAGCAGATCCGTTCTAATAATTTTATATTTATATTACGTAGTGTTGGAACGGTTCATTGAACTACTTTGTTATGAAATTGTTATATTTTTACATCATTTTATTTTAATATAATTGGAGAATAAAAAATATTTTGAAATAACAGTTTGTATATTGTGTATAGCTCAATAGATCAAAGTAAGATATCGCACTGAAATAACGAGGCAACCACAGAAGGGGGAAAGTCATTCTTGTCTGTCCACCAGCCCTCAAAATAATGTGGAGTCTCTGAAAGAAGACTGAGTCCCCCTCCTTCCGACCTTTCACTCCAAAAATAATATCCAGATATTACACAAATGACTTAATATCCTTTATATCTAATTGTAATATCCAACAAATATTATTAGCTATGTGGACTCTCTGAAAGGGTTGCTGAGTTGACAAACCTAAAAACCAAATAACCAAAATTAAGAAGCAAAACTGAACTTTATTTTATTTTAAAGACATATCGAAAATAATATCCTGGGCACCGTTTCTCAAAATTTCGTAGGACACAATTGAACATTCTATGATGAAAAACATTATCTTTTACGTTATCAAATAGTTCAAATTTATACTCGTACGTTATTTCTACAATATTTTGAGAAACGGGTCCGTGTTTTACAATAACGAACTGGATCAAAATACCTTCCAAAAACTTAAATTCTACACTAACTGTCGAAATATATTACCTTTTAATTTTCATTATGGCTAAAATTTCAAGGCTAAAAACACTAACATTTGTTATTCCTATCATATGCATAGATGGACATTCATAAGAATATATTAGATACATAATACTTAAAACACTGATCACAATATAACCAGAAATAAACAGTTTTAATCTACAGAACCGTCGACTAAGGCTAAAAAACAATGCCAAAAATAACTCAACACAATAAATAATTCTAAGCGAAGTAGTATATGTATCTCTATCACCACCGCTTTTTACATAACACTCCCTCTGAAACAAAAAATAAAACATTAGTTACCGAAAGTTCAACCCTACAATTTACCGTTAGACGTATACCTGATCCAAATTAGAAAAGCACAGATTTCGATTAAAAATCGGTATAAGGTTTTCGGACCATGTTCGACCATGTCCTTTGTGAACCTAATTCTGACACAGGTAAAATAAAGAGTTTTTTTTATTATTAAATAAAATGTTCGTGTTTAAATAGTGGGTGGAACATCATGTCCAATTGTTGACCCAAAAACCCAAACATTTCTTTGAACCTATGCTAAAGTTATCTCGAACTACCATACACAGCTACCGTATAATGGCGTGTAGTGTAGTGTGCAGGGGTATAAAGAAAAAACTAGAACTGTGAACAGCTCCGAGCGTGGCAACGAGACCTTTTGAGACTTTTAGTGAGTCCACTTTCAATTAGTGGATAAAAATTGAAAATCTAGGTTACCTGGTAAGTAAATCAAGTATATTATTACACTCGTAGTCTCAAACGAGCAATAAATTTAGAATTTTTGTATTGCCTTCGACACATCTTGTTAAACAAGAGCATATCAAACCCGAGGTAAATCAGTCTCTACAGTCGCACATTATGCAATATGTCACTTCCGGCTTAGGGAAAATTTAGGATATTCATTTTTGATACCAGCCCATTTTGGTCAATATTATCAGATTGTGCTAGAAACGTTCCCCCAAAAAATAAAATAATAATCGATTGCATAGCAAATCGTGACAAATCGATTATCAATTAACGAGCATGTTTCTTATAGCTTAGAAAGAGGTTTTATGTATGGCAACATACGTCGATCATTTTTTGCAAGTAAAATGTTAATTCACAACATACTAAACGAATTCCTTACCAGATAATACATAACTAAATTGAAAACTTACAGCTTGTGAGGAACTATGGTCGTTAAAATAAATATCAAAAAGTTTGGTCTAACTTCCTTATATGGCGGTAAGAAATAGTAGTAGCAAAACTTGACCTTTGACATGTGACCTGGCTACAATACAACCCCTAACAATCAGGCCATTTACTAACAAAATATTTTTGCTGACTGTACACCAGACAGACTACTGTCCGAATATCTATCAGAGGCTGGAATAGAGGCAGTTGTTTCGCACTGATTATATACCAGCGTTCTTCACATTTTCAGCGTATACAAAACTTACTCTTTTCTATTAGACGTACGGCAGCGTATTCAACAATTTTTTTTAATCGTCAGCGAGTGACGGGGCCATATGACTCATGACTAAATTGGACTCAAAAATGTTATTGCAAAAGGCTTTACTTTAACTAAAAATAGTAATGACTAACGTGATCGTTGTAAATGTTAGTAATATTAAAAACTCGCATACACAGCGACGTTGTCAGTGTGGCAGCACACATCCATTGCAGAATATTGAAATATGTTGACCCTGTAAAATAGAAATATTTCAGTTCACAACCAATGTATACCTGTCCCCCATATACCTCAAAAAATATTACCATAAGTAATTTTTACATTAACATAGGACTCGCATTAGATAAAACTTTATCGTTAGTGTTTGTTCTAGTATCTAGAAACATTTATTTAAACAAACGACTCTTTACTTAGAAATGAGAAAAAGAAGAAAAATTTTCACTTGTATATACCGGTGATTTTCATTTTGAAAGAGAAAAGGATAGCTTAAATCTCCATTGATTTCAAACCAAAACTTCCAGAATATTCCAAAGGATCCGTAATTAATAAGGCTTACCTTTCATACTGGTTGGCATCGTTTTCAATCACCGAATTGTATCAAAGATATTAATTAACCTATATAAGATACCCGCTAGTCACCAAAACACAATGAGCTATTGATCATGATACTATTTATATTATGGCTTCCGGTCTACAGACTTTCTGTCGAAGGCTATGATTGGCTCTATTCGGTAGAAAACAATCCAATCAAATCAAAGAAAGGTGGCAAGATATTAGATGCAGTTCGTTATAACTTGATATTGTGAAGATGACTATTTAACGGCCCGTTAATTTTATGATTCATTACATACCATTTAATTATCCAGCAATCAGTACATATTTAATTTTATTGTTATTTTGGTTTAATTGGAAACTCCACATGAATTATATTATTATAATGTTTAAGATTCATTTGAAACCAATCGATAGTATTAATAACGCCGGGAATGAAGATCAGATATACAATAATTAATTTAATTAGATATTGACAATTGACAAAAAATTATACATTGGGTCAAAGTACAAGTTGAAACGTTCAAGATGGTTCCAATAATAAAATATCAACATCTGTTTATCTGGTTCTGCTAATGTGTTTGTGGTCATTGGAATTCTGGTTAATCACCACTATAATCAATTTATTTCTAATCATGTAATGATCAATAATTTCAAATGAGTTTACGAATAATAAACTTCCGTATAAGCAAGATAAACAAATCTCGTCCAAAGTAACACAATTCGACACGTGGATCTTTATAAGAAAAATGATTCAAAGAAGACCTACCGAAGAAGAACTACAGAAGAAGAAGTATAAAAGAAGAACTACTGAATAAGAACTGTAGAAGAAGACTTATAGAAGAAGAAAAAAACGATAGAAATCTACTGAAGAATCAGGCCCTTAAGAAGAAACTCCCGAATTTTGGTTAGATAAGGATACAACTAAAGTTCATTATTATAACCGCCAATCCGTTTACTCTTCTTGAACTGGGGTTATAGACTCAACATCTAAATGCACTGACTCGATCGGACCCTGTTTCTTCTGAATCATCAAACAACACCAACTTCATATGAATACGAAAACTTCTTTATCTATTCTTGACAGTTTAGGTATGATTGTGACAAGTGATGAATGAGTTCTATGACTTGAGAGCAGAAGTATTTGAGTTAGTGGAGAGAGATATTATTAAATATAATATAAGTATCATTGTATATGTTCTGCAAGTTTCAGTTTTATGCAATCTCTATGTTGATATTTACAGCAAAACTCGCTGGTCAATTTATTTCTAAAAATGAATGATGGCTGATGCAATCATAGGCCCACGTGCAGGTTTTCAATCCCTAATTAATTTGGCATAGACTTATACTGTATTAAGAGTACTTTATTTGTGTATTTCAGAAATCACTGTCACTGTTATTTAATACTGGAGGAGATAGTTTTATAAAACTGAAACTAGCAGAACATACACAATGATACTTAGATTATCTGGAATACATTGAAAACTAACTAAATTATGCTTACAGACACGTTTTGGCCTTATTTTCTTCATATAAACTAACTTATCTTGAATAGTAAGAGTGACAACTTTACTTCCTGTAAGGGAGATAATTCTCAGAGCAAACAAAATAAAAGAATCCAGCACAGCACCTTTCCAGAGAATAATGCATTTAAAGGCGGACAAATACAAATTTCAGACCACATAAAATTAACCTTTAGACTTAACAAATTAGATTAATTAGAATCAACAATAAAGACTTAGATCGCTTAGATCCATCGAAGTATTCTAATAGGACTAGATTTAGGCGTGTAACGTCATGGATATTTCGTTTTGTGGACAGTGTTCGTCGATTATTAAGTTTACAGCCATTCTTCGTGTTAATGGACGCCTACAGAAATCCTATCATTTTGCCTAAGATCTTCGTGCCAAGTATTGCATTCTTCGTGCCAGAGAAAAAATCAAATTTGTAAGATCTAAATGTCGTCATAGAGACATAACCAATTAAAAAATAGGACATATGTGAGATTTTTTAGATCTTGTTTATATGAATGATACATGACCACAAGCTATAATCACAATAGCATTGTATTTGTTCCATTTATGATGAGAATTCCAGGATCTATCAAATCTTTGGCTTTAGGAAATTTTCAAGATGTAGCTCGACCACCTGTAGAATGAACTGTTTCTGTTCATCGTGTCTACCCATTGAAAACAAGAAAGTAAAATTAAATATGTACTGATTGCTGGATAATTAAATCAATAAAATTAATGGGCCGTTAAATAGTGATCTTCACAATATCAAGTTATAACAAACTGCGACTAATATCTTGACTTCAATAGCCACCTTTCTCTGATTTGATTGGAATTTTTGCTACCGAATAGAGCCAATCAGAGCCTTCGACAGAAAGTCTGTATATGGAGGACAGGTATACAATAGTTGTAAACTGAAATATTTCTATTTTAATCGTTTTACAGGGACAACATATTTCAATATTCTGCAATGGATGTGTGCTGCCACACTGGCGATGTCGCTGTGTATGAAATATTTTAATATTAGTAATTTTACAATGATCACGTAAGTCATTACTAATTTCAGTGAAAGTAAAGCCTTTTGCAATGATTTGAACATATTTGAGTCCATTTATAGTAATTTAGTCATGAGTCAAGATACTAACCCAATACACGTCAGATCATAATGGCCATGTCACACATTGGCGATGTAGGAAAGCGTATACCCAGCGTATGATAAAATTGTTGAATAGGCTGCCGTACGTCGAATACGTAATGAGTAATTTTGTATAAACTGATCAAGGTTGAAACACGCTGGTATATAACCTAGTAAGATAAAAACGAATAAACATTTTACTTGCACAAAATTTTCGACATATGCTGTCATACTCAAAATTTATTTCTAACCTATGAGTGGGGTGCTTTGAATCTATAAGTGTTCTGAATGACCATATAACTTACTTCATGTATTTAATATCCCTAAACGCCATTATACGGTAGCTGTTCGTTAAACACGCGTTAAGTAAGTTTTGTGGCCGTCCAAGATAAGTTTGGCATGTTCAAAGCAACATTCATTCCACGTATTGAGAGACGTTTTTGGGACTTCGCTAACTCTTTTGTTTAACCACAAATATTTTAATTTTGATAAACATAGAGAATATGAAAGGGACAGTCAGATTCTTTTTTTCAGTAGGTCAAAAATTTAGATGATCAAATTTACTATGAAAAATCTATAGACTAAAATCTGGAGATATATTTACGGAAGCGTATTAGGGCCATTCAATTTTTTTTTTAATTTTTAAGTTAGTAACTTGAATTTTCAAGTTAGTATGTTGAATTTTCAAGCTACTATCTTGAATTTTTAAGCTAGTATGTTGAATTTTCAAGTTAGTAACTTGAATTTTCAAGTTAGTATGTTGAATTTTCAAGTTTGTATCTTGAATTTTCAAGTTAGTATCTCGAATTTTCAAGTTACTAACTTGAAAATTCAACATTCTAACTTGGAAATTCAAAAAAAACAAAAAAACAAAATGAATGGCCCTAATACGCTTCCGTATATATTTCCTTTAGCTTATATAAATATTTTAGCTTAAATTCTCCGGCAGTCATTTTTTACAACCTTTTGCAGTGTTTTTTTAGTAATGAAAATTGAATTGTATAGACTGTTCATTGAATTTTACTTGAAGACTAATAGCATTTTGTCTTAGTTTGTCTTTGCACTTTTAGAAAATTTTATAGTCCAGCGGCATATACCCCAAATATGAAGATATTGTGCATTTTGTGATTCAAGCACCAAATTTAGCATAAATTTATTTTAATACGTTGTGAACAATTTTGGATATGGGGCCACTTGAAATTCTACCTGCATAGGACGCCATTTTGAATTTAAAATATTTTGTTGTTGATATTTCTGAATCTGTGTCTCAGCAGCTAATTGTATATTTTTGGGGTAAAGGAATCCAATGGTTTATGTTTCAAGTAGCAACAAATCCAATTGAAATCCAAAAATGGCGACTATCAAAAATCTATAAGTGGCGTTATTTCTGGATCTATGTCGGCTATAAACCCGTTCTTAATTGTAAACCCATTCCTAATTTTACATTTTGGTGGTCAACGAATGCAATGATTTAAGTTTCAAGTAGCTTCAACTGAAATGAAATGTAGAATTTCAAAATGGCAACTATCAAAAATCTTTCAGTGTCAATATTTCTGGTTCTAGGTCAACTATAAATCAGTTCTCGTACAGGGAGGAATAGCCACTCAATGATGTTATCAAGCTAAATAGGTTGCAAATACTGGATCACAGTCTGTTACAGTATGGACAAAGTTAAGATTCCTTTGACGTATCAAGTCCCACATATGCAGCCATATGCTGCTGTGTAGCGCCAAATTCTGCCTATCACGAACTCAAGTCAGTATCCCAGTGTTATATCTAATCTGTTGTTCAATTGGCCAATTTAATTGAGAAAATAAGTCTGCTACGAGCCCCTAAGGCGCAATTGTAAACATATTTATTTATTATTTCGTTTAAACGAAATAATGAATAAATTAATAATAATAATAATAATAAATAAAAATATTATTTCGTTTAAACGAAATTAATATAAACGTTTAAACGAATTAATTATTTCGTTAAAATTAAAACGAAATGTTATTTCGTTTAAACGAAATAATTAATTCGTTTAAACTAAATAATTATTACCCTATGTTTAATTCGTTTAAACGAAATAACTAATTCGTTCAAACGAGATAACTAATTCGTTTAATTTTTAAACGAAATAAAAAGATGTGATAATTATTTCGTTTAAACGAAATAATAATAAAAAGTGTTGAAAATTGCGCTTAAGGGGCTCCGTACAAAAGAAAGTGGTGCTAAAGTGGATTGGGTGTATATTTTTTTTTATCAAAGCCTAGTAAAGTATTTTATGAATTTTCTACATTGAAATCAACTTGATTATTATTTCTCAATATCAATTTTATTTTGTTCAGATTCAAATTACCTTCGAATTCAATATTGTTTCTACCATTTAGACTTCCTCCATATTCAGATAGATATTCGTTTATGGCTATGTATTCATAGCTTCCTCGTAGTAAACTTATGGTTTTGAATGTAACTCCAATATCTATGAATATTTTTATTTGGTTATTTTTTTCGTTGATATTTCTAATGGAATTGTAAACGGAGAAATACTTTAATCCCAGTTCGTACTGTTTAGTGCGATCGAGTTCATACTCGTAGTCTAGAGACATTTTGATGTCTGATTTATTCGAGGTGATAACGAATAGTTGTTCTTTATTTGACATTTTTAATGACTATTTTTAATCACGCTTTTATAATCATTTTTATCTATAATACCTTTCTCTAGGAGTCTTTTTAATATACAATTTACTTCATTATATTGTCTGTGTGATCGATGTCCTTCCATTGCCGCTAATATTATTTGTAATCTATTAAGCAATTCTTCGTTATTATCGGATAAAAATGTTATATCATCTGTTTCCTCAACTTCATTTTCATCATTAACAACTTTTTTTTATATATGTTTTAACTTGTTTTGATCTATTTGTTTCGGGTCCTGACTTTCTTATTGCATGTAGAAATTTTGATTATGCTACTAAATTCTTGCGATCGGCAATGGGAATATACCCTCCATTCATTAAATCTATTAATCCTTTTGTTAATGTAAATATTAAGCCTTTTGTATCGATTTTGAATTTAGGGGAATTTCCACTAAATTTTATTCTAAATCCATTAAACAATAACCCCTCATCATCATTGGTTAGTAAATCTGGTTTAGGGTTTGAAAAAAGACGATTTATATCATCTAATGTCCTAATTATAATACCACCATATTCATTCGGTTCGGGGTGATCTTTATGAGGGGTGGGTTCTATACGAGGGGTGGGTCTATATTCTAAAGCTAATTTCTTTTTAATATCCTCTTGACTTTTTTAATATGGGTTGAAATAGAGTTTGTAGATTTTCCTTTATTCCAAGTTGTTGTAATTTGTTATTTTCAACTTGGGTCTTTATTTTATTCTTAGCTTTGATGTATTCTCTATTTCTTTTTAAAATATTATTCCAATCGCTACTCATTTTTAAAAAAATAAAATTAACATATGTCGATCATAACTCTTTCACCCGTAGGTTTTCTAGTATTAACAAATACATATCCATGATCATCTGGGTTTCTCCATTGAGCTTTACAAACTTTTTTGAATGTATCTCTGTCCATTCCGTGATTTATCGACTGAATGATTTGAGAAAAATCTTTGTCGTTTAATTCGAATAATTAAAAAAAAAAATTTGCATTTTTTCTAATAAACATAGAATCCATCCCGTAAAATGATTGGGATTGATATATGCAGTGACAGTTGTAATGTCTTCCTTTCGTGAAGAATTCTTGTTGAACAGCTTGATTTCTTTGCGCTACGCAGTCGTCAAACAATATCAAGTTCTTTCGTTTGCTATCAATATTAGACAAATCTAGATCATTAACATAAAACTTGTATATCCGTTGGATAGAAAGATTGATTCTTTGCTTTAATGTAGTTATCTATGATATCCTTTATTTACACTTCTTCTTCTTCGTTTTCTTCATAATATTGAAATATGTCTTGAACATCTTTCTTTGGTAAATACTCTAAAGCTTTGAGGAATTGATAATACGATTGCTCTGGTTTTGTTGTGTATATATATAATGAATCGAAATCTAAAAGGTTTGGTGTTGTCAACATGTTAAAAGTGAGATGAGTTTTCCCAGAACCGGAACTTCCACAAATACACATAAGCATTGGGTTACTAGGAAATATTTCTGAATGTTTGAATTTCTTTTTATTCTATATTTTTGTTCCAAAAATCACCCCTTCTCCTTTATACTTTGAAAGAAATAATCCGTCTCCTGTGTGTATGTTTTTTAAAAATATTCCATTACCCTTATGTTTGACTTTCATTTCTCCTGTGTCGATTTTGTCTATGATACTGTTTAATCCTTGTTTAACAGTTTTCTTGGTTTCTTCCCCAAATCGTTTTCCAAATTCTCTAACTGTACCTAATATATCTGCCACTCCTGAACCTTTCTTTTTTTCCATTACTAAATTATGTCTACGTTCTTCAGCGTTTCTATCATAATCTGCTTTCTTTGCGTTGACAGCTTTGTTTATCCCAGCAGCCGTACCACCAACCCCAGCAGCCACTGCAATACCAGCAAATATCAAAGGTCGGAAAGGTAAAAAAACACCTTCTTTTGCATTCGCGTCAATTCTTTCTAAGTCTATATCGTCTCTGACTTTACAATATTTATATTTATCAATAAGTATTTTAGTTATGCTGATTTTTTTACCATTGTAAGTTATTACAGTTGGGCAAGCTGTTTCAATAGGTTATATTATTTTCTTGACAAAAGTTTCTGGTTTCATTTTTAAGGGTGTATTTTTTACTCAATTCTTATCATTCTTCTATCTGCTATTTTAATTAAATGTTTAACACTAACCGGTTACATCTCCTTGTGTTTTTTCAATATGAATATTTATGATTACTCCTGTTTTGAAAAGATCTTCTTGATGAGCTGATAGATCAAAACAGAAGATTGGATGATTAAGTGCAAAATCTACATATTCAAACTGAGGTGGATTTCCAAATGATTCACACATATTTTTTATAGTTTCTATACAATTCATTATAATTCTTCGTGGATGGATTAATTGTTAAAGGTTGGTTAGGATAATTATCGTTGTTTAATCTTACTTGAACTTTACGGATTATAGGATCTTGAATTTGGTTCATTGCTACTCTAAAGATATTATTGTTATTCGTATGTAAGTCTGGTAAATTCTTGAAATTTTTCGAATCCATGATTAGCTGCTCGTCCTATTCTTTCTACCGTGTTTCGAGCAACAACTCTCTCTCTAGCTAAATCCAGAGCTTTTGCAACATTTCTTACCGGTTCTTTTAAAACACTTCCATCGCCAACATCGGGTATCCAGCCTGAGACTGAATCGAAGTCTTTAGGATATAAACCTGTTTTCAACATTGTATCAAATTCCCCAGGGTGTTTAATTGTTTCTATCGGATTTGAACCAGCTTCCAAAACCATCTCGCTAAATAAAGATGGAAAGAAATTGTTTTCTAACGTTGTATTAGTTTGTGGAACTCGATTTTCATTGGGAGTTCCATCTTTGATTTTGAAATCGCATCTGAAATAAGCATCGGAAAGAAGCAACCAATTCGACAATGAATTAATTTCGAAGGTAATTCTACCACCATCATTCAATTGGGATTTAGAACTAACAGTCGGTGAGATGATAATATAATCCTCCTTTTTCTTGTTAAATGAATAACGAATCGGATTGTATAATTTAAAGATTGGATCTAGTATGTAATTTTTATTTGCCATTTTTAAGGTTTAAAATTTGAGTAGAAATTGTGGTCTGTTTTCCAAACAGTGAAATGTAGGCTGTATAGGTCTTTTTGGGGGGGTGGGATTGATGGAATGTAGGGTGTGTAGGACTTGTTTTGGAGAGGGGAGGAGCTCTTAGTATGTTCACACTTTTCCCTATGGAATGAAATGAAATGGGGAATCCCCGTGCATTCAATATCAAAGCTCTATGACTAATGACTGAAAAGGGAATTCGCTGGATTTACAGTATTGAAACGCCTAACCTATATACTTCCTTCTGTATGAAAGATTGATACACTTCTTTCTCATATTCAACAGTTACCGGTAGCAGTATTGATAATGAGTTGTGGTCGGCGAGGTCTTCACCATGTCCCTAGTATTCATTACAGCGGTAAGAACTACAGGTGTTTCTGGGTTGATTTCTGTATCTACAGTAAGTTGATTTATGTCCAGTCTGACCACAAATATAGCAGACAACTTGACCAAGTATCCTACAAGTGGACACGTTATGTCCCGAGATACCACAGTTGAAACAGGCATTACGGCGTACACTTTGCTTGATGATATTCACCTGTTTGTGATACAGTTGGACTAACTGACTTGTACCTGTATCTGATAGGTGAATGCCGTCTCGCCAAATATTTTCTTTTCTTTTGTTTATCATGTCGAATGTCTGAATCAATTAAGCATATCATTGTGTTTAAGGATATCGGCGTTTAATCCACTTCTTGGAGTTACTTCAGCAATAAAGAGTTGTGTGTTTGGACTTCTAGTTTCAATAGCAGCACGGATACATTTCAGGTCATCATATATCTGATCAGAATGACGTCTTTCTGCCAAATCATTCCCACCTGCTTGAATTATCACATCGGAGAAATTCTCAATATTGATTTTATTCAAATTGCTCCTTATATCTGGGAGTTTAGATCCTCTCAAAGTTTTTATTCCACATTATGCTTTAATCCCCTCTTTTTAATTCGCTGAGTAATAGATGGTCCTATAATCAGAGTTTTCTTTGAAGACATGTTTGTTGATTTAGAAGAGGTGTTGACTGCTTTTGGTAGAGAAGCTGATATATTGTCTTCATATTTATCCATAGGAGGGAGTATATCAGGTGCTGTGTTATTCTTTGATGCCATATCGGCTGAGACAGTTTTACGGTGACTGATGAAGCTATTTACTGTGTCTTGAAGTTTAGATATTTTAGCTTCCAGTTCACTGACTTTACACAGTAAATAATCTTCATCATGTGAAACTGAGGAGGGTTTTAGGGGTGTTGAAAACTTGATGGGTGACAGGAAACTTGATGTTGTGGAACTATTCTGCTTCCTAGGGGGTGTAATTAGTTTAGCAGATGTTTCCTCAATTCTGTCCTGGGTTGAATTTTCTTTGTTCAGGACCTGGCTGGTCAGGATTTCCATGAAACGGTCCAAAAATGATGGGAATTTGTCCTGGAACCATGAAAAACATGCCCCACCTTGGATATGCAAAACAGACGCGGACTCATGAAGAAAAAGTTTCAGTTTTTTATCATCAAGGGTACTCGTTAACATAAATCCATTAGTGCCTTTATCTTCAAAAGCTTCCTTCACATAGTAATCAAAAAGTTGGGATTTAAATGTTTGGAAAAAATGTTCTTCTTTGAACGCTACACAAATGCTACAGCATTTTTCAGTGTGGTTAATAATAGAAAATATCTGTTATCGTTGATGTCAATGTCATTTTCTTCTTTTTTACTAAAACTAGTTCCTAATATGATACCCACGGTAGTGCCTTCATCCATTGACAAAATTTTAGATGCCACTTGCAAATTCGAACGATTAATAAAACTGGCCTATTTTTACAGAAAAACCCTTGGTAGAGGAATCCGGAAGAAGTTTGTGGAAAAATCTGAGTGGACTCCACCAGATGCCCTAATACATACCGATATTTTAGAAATTTGCGATAACATGCGATTTGAAACTTCTCTCTTACCATTGGTAAAAGAAAATAGCAACTTGACGCGCGCTGAAAGGACCATTTTAAACAACCTAAAGAACGATAAAAACATTATCATACGGAAAAGTGATAAAGGAAGCTCGTGTGTCATCTTAAACCGCGAAGATTACATTAAAGAAGTTGAAAATCAATTAAACAAACGCGAACATTACCAAATTTTAGATGCTCCGATTTTTAAAGAAACCGGCAGTGTGATTAATGACATTTTAAAAAAATTAGTGAATGACAAAATTATTTCAGATAAACAATACGACTATCTTTCGGCTAGTTCTACGGCACGTCAACGGCATATTTATACCCTCCCGAAAATCCATAAGAACCCGGAAACAGAATGTTTTTTACCAAACATTATACCTAAGGGTCGACCAATCATTTCAGACTGCTCCAGCAAATCTTATCGAGTCTCGGAATGCATTGACCATTTTTTGTTACCTTTAGCGTGCCAACACCCATCATATCTAAAGACACATCCGATTTTGTTGAAAAAATAAAGAGTTTAGAAATCCCGGAAAATGCCTTCTTCATATCAATGGACGTTAGTAGCATGTATACCAATATTGACAACGAAGCCGGTCTGAACGCTGTAAAAAAATGCTTTGAGAGAACTCTTGACCCAAAACGGCCCGATTCTGAAATTCTTAAATTACTCGAAATTTGTTTAAAACGGAATGATTTTTATTTTAACGGTAAGGTTTATCTTCAGACTTCAGGAACAGCAATGGGTAAGAGATTTGCCCCAAGCTATGCCAATATATTCATGGCTGAATGGGAACGCGAAATTGATTTGGTCTCTCCTTTCAAACCAATTTTCTACGGACGTTTTTTGGATGACATATTTTTAATTTGGCAACATACTATTCAGGAATTCTGGCAATACTTCGAAATTCTAAATAACCCTCACCCATCAATCAAATTAACAGCAAATATAAGTGATCACAGCATGGACTTTCTCGACACAACAGTATTCAAAGGACCGGATTTTAATGAAACTAGGAAGGCTGATATTAAAGTATTTTTCAAACCCACTGATACCCACCAACTTTTATTGAAAAGCTCTTTTCATCCAAAACATACATTTTCAGGCATAATAAAATCGCAAGTTTTACGGTTCCGTAGAATTTGCACCAGAATAGAGGATTTTGATGATGAGTGTTAATTAGTCTTTAAGAAATTGCGAGAGCGGGGATATTCAAAACGATATCTCCGCAGCATTAAAAGCAAAACTCTTTCAGGAATTGAGAATCGGAACACAATCCTCGTTCCGGTAAACTCTAATCAATCTTTCGGATCACGGCCGTGCAGATCTACAAGATGTAGAACCTGCGAGCATATTTTAACAACCAATTCTTTCTCTAATAAGCATAACGGTAAACAATTCCCTATTAACGGTGAGCTTTCATGTACCAGCACAAATATCATTTACCTAATTTCATGCGACAAATGTCATTTACAATACGTAGGCGAAACTAAAAACTCTTTGAGAGAAAGAATTAACGGCCATCGTTTCGACATCTCCCATTATCTGGATAAACCTATTGGGAACCATTTCAACTCCCCCAACCATTCCCTCGCAGATATGAAGGTGGCGCCCATTGAAAAGGTCATCGCAGAAGAAGACACCAACCCTAAAAGTTCAAGACTACAGGGAGAGCTTTTGGATGAACCAACTAAAAACCATTTCGCCCTGTGGACTAAATATACAGTTTGATTCTCAAATAATCCCATTTGTTGCTCCATTCAATAACATTTCTTGCCATGTATCCCGAATTATCAAAAGATACTACACAGAGTTACAAAATAAATTTCCCACTATTTTTTACAAAAAATTAGTCATAGCTTATTCGAAAAATAAAAATCTACAGGATATAGTTGTTCGTGGTTGACTTGACCCCACCGATGATGTAGAGTGATCTAATAGGATTAAATATTCTCATTTTCATTGTCTTTGTACTTTATATAATAGTTTAAAACAATTTACTTTCTATACCTGCAGCCATTAATCGCTTTTCTTCATTCTTCCAGAAAATCTGAAGCAGTCAATGTAGATTAGAAGTATTATGAATTTCTTTATTAGGTCCAAGAAGATTTATAGGATAACCGTTATGATCATCTTTGATTTAGTTCATTGCATATTAGCATCACAATTATTGTAAACATAACTTTAACCCTGTGCCAGTGCCTTATATTGAATAGTAGCTGGTTACTCTTCAATCACCCTAATTCCTAATATAGATCCAATAAAGCTGAACAGAAATGATGTTGCCATTTTATAGATACTTAATATTATATGAAAATGTTATGTTTATTTTATATTTTTATGAGTTAAGTAATAATAGCAATAATGTCACTGGATAAAAAAGCAGCACTATAATGTTCTATAATCTTCTGTTCTACAGACCACAACACAGACAGGGTATACAGGCCACTTGAAAACAATATCCAATTAGATAAATGGTAATATAATGACAAGATAATCCTCAGAAAATATCCAAAATCACAGAGAAAAGTTTTATGGCACTAAACTTAGTATAAATCAAAAAAAAATATAACTGTAAATCCTTTTATATAGCACTTTAGTTTATTATAATGTAGAGAGATATTAACAGTGAATAGTAGCAGCGGCCATCTTGTATGCATGATTATTCTGCTGCCACCTTGAATCATAATATTTTTTTCCTAAAATCTACAATTAGCCACCAAAAATGGATTTAAAGCTGATCGAGATCTAGAAATATTGACGCTTATAGATTTTTGATGGTGGTCATTCTGAAAGCAAACATGACAGCAATTGTAGGTTCTTGAAACATTGTATACCTCCAAAATGTACAATTAGCCACTAAGAAAATAATTATAGCTGACATGTATCCAGAAATATCAACAATTGCTGATTTTTGATGGTAAACATTTTGAAATTCCATCTGGCAACAGTTGTAGCCAATTAAAACTGTTTATTTCTGGTTATATTGTGATTAGTGTTTTAAGTATTATGTATCAAATATATTCTTATGAATGTATTTCTTATGAATATATTTCGACAGTTAGTGTAGAATTTAAGTTTTGGGAGGTATTCTGATCCATTTCGTTATTAGAAAACACGGACCCGTTTCTCTAAATATCGTAGAAATAACGTACGAGTAAAATTGTTATAAATTAACTATTTGATTACGTCAAAAATAACGTTTTTCGTCACATAATGTTCAAGTTTGTCGTAAGAAATTTTGAGAAACGGTGCCCAGGATATTATTTGTTTTTAAAAATGGATTTCAGTTTTGCTTCTTAATTTTCTGCACCGATGAAGTGTTAAAGGGAGTGAAATTTTGCTTGGACAGCGACATTGGCTTACCACCATTCAATTTCCAACGGTTCAGAGATCATTAAAGGATGCAGACGGTTTCATATCCCCCCTGTCGACGTGACCGATTCCTCTTAAAGTTGAAATTTAACTTGGGTAGCATAATCCCAAGATAACAAGCAGGAGTTGTATAATGGGTAAATGATGAATTATAAAGTTACTTCCCTTGAACTGTTAGAATTGATCAGCTAAGTCACTTTTTTTGTTTTTACCTTCCTCTTTGTCCTATTTGTCGTGTATGTTGAGTATGTTGAGCAACAATGAAGGGTGTCGCGCCAGGCAGGGGAGGCTTTTCTTCTAGACACCTGATACCACTTTTCATTATTTATTATTTCATTATCACTCACTTATGATTGATAACATCATGTGAAAAGTTCATTAGTTTGCTACTTTGTTTCGTTTTGTGGCTCGGATCATTAGTACTTGGTTTATTGTATTGGTCCGTTTTATATTCGATCTACCGGAAGACCCGATATTTGTCAACTCCGCAGTCTTTCAAAGAGTCCACATAGCTAATAATATTTGTTGGATATTACAATTAGATATAAAGGGTATGAAGTCATTTGTGTAATATATGTGAATTACATTTAGCGGGCATTGGACGATATTATCTTTAGGGTGAAAGGTCGGAAGGGGGAGGGGGGAGAGACTCAATCTTCTTGGCAACCCTTTCAGAGACATAGATGATATTACTTGTTGGATATCACAATTCATTTCTGTAATAGTCTTTTGTCAAGTTGTATGTGAATCAGAAGTAGCCATTTCAACATTTGGAAAGATGACACTGGTAGCGAACAATTCAATAACTTATTATTTTGAGGGTGGGTGAACAGTCAAGAAGATTTCGAACACACGAAAATGACTTTCCCCTTCTGTAGATGCCTCGTTATCTCAGTGCGATATCTTACTTTGATCTATTGAGCTATACACAATATACAAACTGTTAATTCAAAACATTTTTTATTCTCCAATTATATTAAAATAAAATGATGTAAAAATATAACAATTTCATAACAAAGTAGTTCAATGAACCGTTCCAACACTACGTAATATAAATATAAAATTATTAGAACGGATCTGCTGTTGAAAACCTGTTAGATT